GTTTCAAATGGTATATGTCACGTCGCTACACTCCGACATCTCTAATTCACTTTTTTTCGTAACTGGTGCCTGGTATAATATCAGATGGTTTGCTCTGCTACGAGCGCAATTTGACTCCAAAATAGGTGAAACCGGCGGCTTGACAAAAAAATTGTTAGTGTAATGTCATTGTAAAACTCAAACAAACATGAAAACGGAGAGTAAAGCCTCTCGAATCCATTGTAATCAATTTTTCCATCAATGTTGGTGGTCGCTCACCCGTTTGACCTTTTATTTAAACGTGAGATACAGTGTTACACTTTAAACTTGATTTTAAGTTTTTTCGTTGTAATCTGGACTTAAACGTTGTTTGTCAGGTCTTGCTGATTTTTGATGCACAGTTGTACTTGTTGATCCTTTCAAGATCGGAGTTTGTAATGGTGATTAGAAGATGGTTTACACTTTTATCAATACCTATATGTATTGATAGACGCTGTATAAGTCAGAGAGGATATGTATTAGCCTATGTATTAATATCTAGCTTTGAAATTTTTCAAGTGTTATCGCGTCTAGGAGCGAAGTGTTCAATCGGTTTGCAACATAGTAAATCCTCAATAATGCTGCTAGTGTAACTGGCGTATGACAATCAAAAGTTTTTTGTGGCCTTTTTAGTTAAACACGAAAAACAAGCTTCTCTATCACCGGTCAATTCTTGTCTACAAACAAAAAAAATGGCCGCTAAGATCAACTAATTTTTTGATAAACATTTTGGTCGTGCGCTCGTCTCATCAGACGAAAAATGATAAAACTGTTTTTATTCATTTTAAAAGGTGACTGCGGCTATATAGATTATTTCACATGTCTACGTTTTAATGGTTTATAGGCAAACTTGTTATTTTCCAGCGTGATTTTTGTTACACTTACAATTACCATAATCCTGTGAAGATGTCGTAATCTCGGTTAACCGTGATTCTACATTGATGAAGAAACAGCGCCATAGCTATATTTAACAGGGGTGGAATGCTTAGATTTCGACGAAACTGTGCAAATTTATATTTATATATTTATTTATTCCATAATAATAGAAACTTTATGAGAAAAAATTACAAAATAAAATATGGAGAAATAATACAACAGTGATTTACAATATTGTTTAAGAATAAAAATGGATAATCTAATAGATGATAAAATCGAAGAAAATAAAAATATTGTAAAAGAAGCAGTAAAAGAATTTGAAGTTAAGAAAAAGTATGATTTGGAGAATATAAAAAAATGATTAGTAATTAAAGAGCACATTTTTAACAATAGGAGTTTTATGGAGGAAGAATAAATTGATGAATTGAGAAAAGCGTCCTATAATTTAGAAGAAACGGAACATAAACAAGCAAGTATGAATCGGAAAGAATTTGTAGACAATGTAAAGGATTATCTTGAAAACTACTCGAGCAACAATAAGAAAATAAATATAAAGATGTACAAAATCAGCAAGAGAGATAAGATTCAACATACGAAGCCTAGCGTAAATTTTTGCTTTTGACGGATCTTTTTTTATTTTTATTTGTTTATTTATTTAGTTATTTATTTATTTTTTTGAAGACATCGATCAAGTCAAATTGGCATAGCCGAATACAATTTCAATTTGTCTTTCCACATTCATTTACTTTCCAATGTTCCGTTAGAAACCGTTGAAGACCCTGACTTACTTTCCAAAGCGGAAACGGTAGTTTTCAGGGCTTTTTCTGTGGGCTTAGAGTTGTAGAAACGGTTTATGAAGAACTTTTTCCTGCACGTTTTACGACATAATGGGACATATATGCGATAAGGTCTCCGAAGACTGCGATTTATTTCATAGCTAGGCATTAATTCAGCTGATATTATTGTTCTCCAATCCAGAATACTTTCAAAGAGAGCGATGTCTATTTGATTAAACCTAGACTTCAAGGTTTCCAGGCCGAGTTTAGACAGTCTCTTCATATAATTGGGGCAGGAATTGAAGCAGCGTTGGCACGCAATTGAAGTAAAAATTTCTTGGACCTTTTCTATTTTTTTTATATTTTGATCTGTATAAGGACGATATAGAGGAAGAGTCTTTTCAATTATAGGGCGAATATGCGTTGTGTATATGTGAACTATGACATCCTTACTTTTAGATTGAGTTTTACGGAGGATACTATGCATTTCGGATATAGCTTTATCTACCACATAGTCGACGTGTTTGTCAAACGAGAGATTGGGGGTGAGACACAGACCTAGATCGCAAAAACAATCTGTTTTTTCAATTAAGCAATCCCCTATTTTATACTCATTTCTGGGATTAGATTTACAGATGTGTAGAACTTGGCATTTATTATAAGCAATAGTCAGTCTATTATCATCACAGTAGTTTTCAAGTCTCTTTAAGGATCCTCTAAGCTTCGAACACAAGGCAGAAGGAGCAATTAGCTTAATCTTGTCCGCAAACATAAAAATTTCTACACCTTCTGCTTTGCAAGAAGACGGAAGGTCGTTCAGATAAAGAATGAACAATAAAGGGCCTATTATCCCGCCCTGAGGGACCCCAGAGTTAGTTGGCTGACGAGGAGATATAGAGTCATCAACCTTTACGGCGAAGGTGCGGTCGAACAGATAGGCTCGGATCCATGCTAGAAATGCGCCTTCAATCTCGAGAGAACACAATTTCGCCATCAGAAGGTTTCGATCGACCGATTCAAAGGCGTTGGAAAATTCTACATAGACTACATCGTATCGTTTGTTTCTATCAAAATTTTCAAACAGAAGAGTAACACTCTCTATTAAATTTGTCGTTTCCGAACGCTTCGGAACAAAAGCATGCTGGCTTGACGAGAGCAGGCCCTTTCTTTGAATATAGGACAGCAGGTATTTGTGAACGATGAATTCCGATATCATAGAACAAGTATTTAAGTGATACGTAGGGCGATAGTTGGATATGTCGTCCTTAGCACCCATTCCGTGCTGCGGTAATGTTTTTTTCCATAATGATGGAAGACAGCCATTGTTAAAAGAGTAGTTGATTATTGTGGCCAATGGGGAAGACAGGTGGGCTTTAAGATGTGCGACAAAAATGAGTGGGATCGAATCGCAAGTACAGGGTCTTACAAAAAACGTGAAGGAAAGTGGAAGGCTATAACTTCCGGCGGAGGCGGCGCAGAGACTTCGTATTTGAAATGTGTATTTTTAAAAGACATAAGTTTTTGTCTACGAAATAACAAGCTTTTAGAGTGCAAACTGAGGTCGCTACGACCTTCTGAAGTAGAGGCATCTCTACCCCGAAAACCAGGTTTTTTCGGTTGAAAATGATCGTGAAATTTCGGACTTTTTCGGTTGAAAAGCACCAAGAAATGTCGGATTTTTTGGGGGGTTTTGATATGGGTGATGTTGAAAAAGAGGAGGAAAGTGCCAACACGTGCAATTTTTTCGACGTTTTCTTAAAGACTATATCAAGAAACCCCCAAAAAATCCGACATTTCCTGGTGATTTTCAACCGACAAAGTCCGAAATTTCTCGATCATTTTCAACCGAAAAAACCTGGTTTTCGGGGTAGAGATGCCTCTACTTCAGAAGGTCGTAGCGACCTCAGTTTGCACTATAAAAGCTTGTTATTTCATAGACAAAAACTTATGTCTTTTAAAAATACACATTTCAAATACGAAGTCTCTGCGCCGCCTCCGCCGGAAGTTATGACCTTCCACTTTCCTTCACGTTTTTTGTAAGACCCTGTAGTGTCGGATTTGAAAGGTGTTACAGACAGAACATCGAAAACATATTCGGGAGTTACTGCATTAATACAAATTCGATTGGTGCGCCTTGGGACGTAAGCGAAACTTGCGGCACGATCATCATTATTATTACATTTTGTGGAGTAATAATCTGCGAACGCTTTAGCTTTTTGATCGCTTGTAGAGATGGGGTTTCCACTTAGGGTAGGAACTGCGTCACCGGCAATAACAGATGCATCGAAAATTTTCTTTTCATTTTCTTCCGACTGGGATTTCGCGTATTCAAGAAGCAATCCGTCGAGTTGTTCAGACGTGGAAATGCAATCCTGTTCAGCTGGGGGAAATTTACAGAACTCGGAGAAAATTTTTCCACGCTTATCAATCAGTTCAGATGTATCTTCGGAAGGCGACACTGGAACAAATTTTGCTATTACACTGAGTAGGAAAAGAGAGAAAGTCGCGTAGAGCCGATCAATATTTTCTTGAGGCGACAGCGACGGGTCAACGCGAAGCATACCATCCCAATCAGCTTTGGCCAAGACGCTCTCAATTTTCGGCCAGTCAGCCTCGTGAAAATTTCGATGAGAGTAGGAAACACTGTCTAACATTGAGGAAAACGGAAGCTTAAACTGCACAGACCTATGGTCACTGCCAACGTGAGAATCAGAAACAACGACATCTTCCGGGAGATTGAAATCCGCCAATACCAGGTCAATGATATGTTCTTTTCGAGTCGATTTAAGTACTTTTTGGCCGAGGTTGAGGTTCTTCGCAAAGTTAACGAATTCACGCTCCTGAGCATGCTTCCAGGAGTGCTGAGACCAATCGATTGACGGAAAATTAAAGTCACCTAAAACGACAACTCTACGGCTATCAAAGCACAGGCCGTAAATTCTAGCGATCATTCGACGATTATATTCAGCTTTCAGCGACGGTGGACGATAGACCAAAATAACTCGCAAGTAAATGCTGTTATCGGGTGACAAGAGGTCGAAACAACTGAGATTATAGTGATTGTCTACATTCCTTACGTTCGATACGGGGATTCCGTTCTTTACGAATATGGCACAACCGCCTCCCCTTTTCTTCTTACGATCGGCACGGTGGACCGTGTAATCAGAATTTAAAAGAATATAGTCGTCTTCGTCACTTTCTTTAAGCCACGTTTCAGTGACAAATATCATGTCGAACTTCTTGCCATGCAGAAGCTCTTTATGTTTATCTAATTTGCTCTTCAAGCTGCAGAAGTTTAAAAGTAGACAGTTGTATTGGATTGTAGTTGTATGGGTTTTATTATAAGTTTTGGTATTAAAAATTTTTAGTATATTATTTTTCAAATTAAAATTAATTGAGCTGGAAGCAGTGAGCAAAAGTTCTTCTAATTTGTGCAAAGACAAAGTATAAAGGAAACGTACAAAATATTGGTGCCAGATCTCCTCGGCGATTGGCGTTGGTTTTTTCTTCGATTCCAGCGTTCCATTGCAAATTTCGTTTCCATGAATGCAGAAGTCCTTTTTTCCGTTGTCCTTCTTCAACTCATTGCAAATCCAGTGATTAATGCGTCTGATAGCAAATTGCATTTTGGTCTCCGCCTGAATGATGCGAATACCACCAAGCTTGTCCGAAGAATTTCTTGCTTTATCGACGATCCAGCAGGCCTTCCGATGCGTTCCCAGCCCGAGTAGAAGAGGTCGCGGGTCCGCATCGTCTCTTTTTCCCAACCGAACCAAAGAGACCACTTCAACTTTTTTACGGCATCTTATGGAGTCCAAACATTTGTTGATTGCAGCAAGGTCGTGAGCAGTTGCATCATCAGCATTGGAGTCAGACTCGGGTGCTGAGAACTCCGGGACACCCAAAAGCAAGACAGAGTTTTCGAATTTTTCTTCCGGATTAACTTCACGATGGGTAGGTGGATCGATAACAGATCCTTCATCAGCAGCAATTTTATTGGCAGCCATTTCGTCGCAGATAGAGAAAAGACCACGGACGCAAGATGTACGTTGTTCCTGTAATAATATATATATTGAGGGTTTTACTGCACGCAAATTTTGACGGCTCGCGACCGGAGATTAAATCGATAGCTGCCTGCATTTTTCGCATTAATCTCGAATCGATCTTTTTTGGCTGAAAAATCCGTTTTATTTGGGTGCGGCAATTTTTCGGCCGGATTTGAATTGGCTATAATTTTTTTAGTTTTTGGTCATATGTGAAAACTCTTTTTTTCCCTGAATCCATAGACAGCTAGACTTGGCTGCCGGGCCGGGCCAAAGCCAAATTGAAACGGGCCGGGCCGGCCCGGCAAAATTAAAATTCTGAATTTCAAAGCGAAAAGTTGCATTGCCAATAAAATTAACCCAAAGCCAAGAATGAGGTTTATATTTTTCTCACAGTAGCAATAATTTTATAAACATAAAGCACGGAAGTGCTCAAACATGGGTAATAATAAGTAATTTTACTAGTAAAATCTATTAAGTACTAATGTATATCAGCGTTTGTAGTAATTTTTTGAACAAACACTCAAAATAAACGTAACCGACATCCTTAGAAAGAATAAGCTCTAAGTTTCATAGCTGACAATGGATACCACTAGTGCGACTCTCAGATTTTCGTTAAATTTTGCACATATGCCGGGCATAGGCCACATATTAATTTCTGAAAGTTTCAGCCCGCGCCTGATTTCAGGGGCGGTCAAGATATTTAACGATATTTGCGGTCAGGAGGGTACATGAGTGGTCACACAGAAAAACATTTGGCTGTATCCTCGCCAGTTTTGTGCGGAAAGAGCTGATTTGGAAACAGTATTCGGCATGAACAAGCATGAAACTTTTTACGACAAAATTCGTGAAAAAGCCATAATTTTCACACACACCGGAAAAGCCAAGAAAACGACCGAAAAGCCAATAACTATGAACTAGACCCCTGTATATATAACATACTTACAGGGGAAGTACTCCAAGTGCGACGCTTAGATTTTCTTTAAATTTTGCACACACGCCGGGTATGGACTAAACATCAATTCTTGAAAGTTTTAGCTCGCGCTTTGCGGGCGCCGCCGAGATATCGAACGATTTTTGTCGCCGAGAGAGCACGCTAAACGTGGAGAGCGGTCAGAGAGAAAAGCGCTTTTTGGCCATAGCTTTGGCAGTTTTGTGCGGAAAAATTCGATTTTTTGTAGAAACATTATCCTTTACGGTTGAAATATACTTGAAACTTTTCGTGCCGAAATTCGGCAAAAAGTCCTAAATTTTCGCCGACTTTCGTTCTAAAAATCTCGGTTGTTTCTGCAAAGCGCGAACTAGGATTCTCGCCTATATCTTAGAAAAAAATATTCTAAATTTGTGCCAAGTTTCATCAAAATCTGAGCGTCGCAATTGGAGTACTTCCCCTGTTAGTATTAAAACGCACTTCGCGAGTTGCTGAAGGCACAAATGGGGTCTGCCCTAGAAATTGACCTCCACTTTTTTTGTCTTAGCTGATGACATATAGGATTCTAAAAAACTTGGTGAACTTTTTTCGAAAAATTCGCCATCATGACCGAGATATGACGTATTTACTGAATTTCGTTTAATGTGATATATTGTGCAAATTTATTTCCGAGACATCTCAGAACTGTGTATATATACGTTATTGGCCATGCTGAACAACTTTGTAATTGACCCAAAGTTTGTCAGGTTACTGTAACACACCGTAACGCCCAAGCTCAATGGAAAAATCTCGATTTTCTCGATTTTTTCAATAATTTTCTCGGAATTTCTTTTCATTTTTGGAATCGGCATCAAATTCTGCATCGGATAGGCTATATGCGCATCTCCAGATAGGTGTACAAAAATGTCGTGGCGCAACCGGTAGTGGATCGGACTGCCATTCAAAAGGTCCCGGGTTCGAGTCCGGGTGGAAGCAAAAATGCTCAAACGCGCTGGAAATTGTCCCAAAACAGTTTTAATCTATTAGAACTGTGGTAAACATAAATAATAATTAACATTTTCCCTAAAAAGGCTAAATTTTGGATTTTACGAAATTTTTGAAAGTCATGATTTTTGTGGGCCCAAATCTGCCGAAGAAATGAAAATTTTTTGTAAGCGATTTTTTTGTTTAGAAACAACGCATGGCACATAGAAAGAGTACTCCTCAAAGGATTTCGTTCCATTTTGCATAAAACACTGCTGATTCCAAAGATAAAAGAAAAATCCGAGAAAATTATTGAAAAAATCGTGAAAATTGAGATTTTTTCATTGACCATGGGCGTTACGGGGTGTTACAGTAACCTGACAAACTTCGGGTCAATTACAAAGTTGTTCAGCATGGCCAATAACACAGTTCTGAGATGTTTCGAAAATAAATTAACACAATATATCACATTAAACAAAATTCAATAAATACGTCATTATCTCGGTCATGATGAAGAATTTTTCGAAAAAAATTCACCAAGTTCTTTAGCGTCCTATATGTCATCAGTTAAGACAAAAAAAATGGGGGTCAATTTCTAGGCGCCGTTCCACAGCTCCCGAAGTGCGTTTTAAAACACGATTTGTGAGTCACTGTATCAGCCGTGGACATTCAAAAAAATTTATTTTGAGATTTTTGTTTTAAAATGTCCGGGGGCATCCTACTAACATATTACCTTAGAATTTTTGCCTAATTCTTCCGTTAACCTACTCTAATTTGCAATAGTATGATTTTACAGCAATCGGGTATTACGCAAAAAGTACACGTCGTAATTGGCTGAAATTGGTAGTATAATGGTTTTGGCACCTTTTCATTACAATGCACATCAGATACAAACGGAATGCCAAGGATTTTTGGCATTTATTTTTTTAAAAATTTTTTATGGGCCTCGGGAAAATTGATAGTTTACAAGGTATGATTGCGGCATTCTTCCAAGATATGAACCAAATTAAAGAAAAGACATCTACCTATTTTTAAAAATTAATTTGGGGTCTGGCGACCTCATGGGAAGCCTACAAAAAGGTTGCAAAATTTGGAATTTTTGAAAACGCTGATTCGAATTTTGCCAATACGCAACTTATATTAAGAAATCTGATTTGGAGGAGTTATCAATAATGTTATTTTCTTTCTATATGAAAAGTTTCGGCAGAATTGGTCTGCAAGTTTTGGAGATGATGGCGAAATACATGAAACTGGGTATATCAAAAAATTTTTTCGGTTTTGCAACGGCTAAGGCTGCTCACTGCATGGACACATTCATTATAGGGTATCTCAGTTTATAAAACCTTCTTTCAGAGTCCATAATGCCAAATTAAATGACATTTTGCCATCAATTTAGCATGAATAACATACGTCTTCACATGTTCATATTTGGGTTTGCTGCATCGGTAATATATGTTTTGAAAACGTAATAACATCCTTTCGTTGGCTACGTATTTCTTTTTAGATGGAAAAGAATCTCCACTATATGTTTTCATAACTTTACCATGTACAACATGACTAAAATAAGATTCAAAAAAGGGCTAGTAGTCGGGCTCAGACCTCGTTTGGACTTGTTAAGGTGATCTATACAACAACCTAGTTCCTCAATTTTTGAACTTTTTAGGGTAAAAACGGATGTTTGGAAACTAATTTGATCTTATAATCAATATCACTTTTTGTAAGAATGATTTGCAGCTTCAAAACCTTAAAAAATTTAGTGGTGAATATTGTCATGTATAACATGCTGACGTTATGGCACACTGTGAAAACCGTCTTTTTTACCCGGTAATTGATAGATTAGATCTAAATGAGCATGATTGGTGAAGAAAACCCGCAATTCCTACAATCGCAATTGTTTTCAGTCCCAAAAACGCCTGTTTTAATCCCAAATTTTCAAATCGCATCAACTTTTTTTTGAATAGACGAATTTTGATAATATTTTGGATATTTCCTATATGGACCAATGCTAATAGAACCTCCAAATCAGATTTCTCGATTTAAGTAAAAAAATTTTGTATCTGATGTGCAATGGATATCAAATTTTGGCGGTTGGGTTACTGTAACATAGTGAAACCTTTGTTCGGCCGCACAAACTCGGCCATAAAAAAATTGTTTCTGAAAACCCACAGCCAATTTTTGGATATGTTAATAAGCATAAAATTTTGCTATAGAAGCTTTAAAAAAAGTGCAAAAGTCATAATACCATTTTTGTGGTAGAGTGGATTTTGGTCAAAATTTGTAATCTGAAGGTCCCGGGTTCGATTCCCACCGGACGAAAAATGTGACAGGCTGCATAGAACCTTACGAAATCGACCCAGATGGGTTTGTTATGCACATTTAAGCCATATAAGACCATATCCAAGGCGTTAAGGCAAATTTTAACATATTTTTTGAAGGTAGAATCAGTAAAATCATCGTTTCGGTTTTATTGGAATTTCCAACAAGCTTAGTTGCAGAAAACCGGTAAGACTAAAATGTATAGGGTTTTCGAGTATACTTAATTCAACAAAAGCGATTTTTCGGAACCAAGGATACAATAACATAGAAATACAAAGGTTCGGCCGCTAAAAGTCGGACGTAAAATTTTTATTTTCAACGTCAAGCTGACACTTATTCGATTTTCGGAATCGCCGCAAAATTTTGCTCTAGTAACAATCAAGAAACGATTTTTTTATATACGACACTTTTAACTGATTCAGTGACTCACAATGTCAGAAATTGAGTTTTAAACAAAATGGGGACGTCTGAGGATTCGTGGGAAAAAATAATTTTAACATCTGGATAAAAAATAAAAAAGTTAAAGCCAATTCAAAGCCAACCAAAAAATTGCCGCACCCTGTATAGAAATAACCGGCTTTTGACAAAAAAAAATACACTGCTCGACAAAATTATATAAATGCACTTTTGAAATCGCTGCAACTTTTGTGGTTTTCAATAAAACTGTGCCCTATTTGGTCCCAATATGTACCAGTTTACTGTAAATCTTGTGACAAAAAATTATTTTGGAAAGTTTTCACAATTTGGAAAAAAGTCGAAGAAACCAAAATTTCGGTGATTTTCTTTGCAACAAAATTATAAATTCGCGCAATATTTTGCAATTTTCTTGCCGTTGGTGCTGACGCAAAGTAAGTTATTCGGCTTAGTGGTATCCTTAGGGGTCCTTCTGGCATGCTACAACAAAAACAAGTACATATTGGGGTCAAATATGGCACAGTTTTATTGAAAACCACAAAAGTTACAACGATTTTAAAAGTGCATTTATAACCTTGTCGTATTTGCGGGCGAGCTTAAATAAAGAAAAAGGCATGACTAAAATTCCATCACCCTTTCCGGCAGCTTAGACGGATTTTTCTATAGAATTAGTCGGTTGCAGGTTTACAGGCAGTGAAACGTGCAACTAAGAGGCGCATAAAAAGAAACGTCTATAAAGACCGACCAAAAAAGAGGTCGCCAGCGGCCAGCGTAAAAGAGGCTTGCATCATTCCGCTCCTTTCTCTAAACACTCTTTTTCCCGCGTGCGCTCTCTTCCTCTCGCCAACAATTTTTACGAATACGAAAAACGAAAAACGTTTCGCAATTCGTTTCCGGATAAAAAGACCCATCGGAGAAAAGACCCAGCGAGAAAAAGAAAAAGCTGCCCGGAAGGGACTTTTTCAACCCGACAGACTGTTAAAAAAGTGACAAGAGAGTTCAGAGCTACCAAAATTATTATAATTATAAACATGGTTGAGGAGGTACTTCAGATTTTGGTATCACATAGCACATGCGCTACACTCCTCGCTCGCGCCTTGCACCTAGATTTTTTAGGCCTAGAGTTGGCAAAAATGTGGCACTTTATTAAGAGTTGTGGCACGAGAAGTTTCATAGCAAATTCTGAATACTGTGGACGGTAATGTTTCGGCAAAAAATAATTTTTTTTGTTTGAACCTATTAAAGATATGACCAAAAAAAATCGTTCTCTGACTGCTCTCCGTATGTTGCGTATCTTTCGTATTCCTTGAAAGCGCGCGGCAAAACTTTCAAGGAGTGATGCCTGGTGCTTTGCCCCGTGTATGCAAAATTTAAATAAAATCCGGGCGTCTTTACTTGGGTGCTTCCGTTGTAAGAGCAACAAATTGAGAAAAAATGTTTCTTTGAACTGCGCGATAAAGTAAACCGCTTTAACTTTTTCATCATTTGTCTTTGTAAGCATTTTCACCTCATTTCCTACCGTCTTTTGCAATCAGCACAATTTTTGTTGTTAGCCAACTCAGCTTGCTGGCCTAAAATCCCGGCTCGGCCCTTCGGATGAATGTGTTAGAAATTTCCTTTTTTAATTGAAATATGAGTCACTTGAGATTCGGTGTAACTGGTGCATAACTCGAAAGTCCATCGGAACAAATCATGCCCTTTTTAGATCAGTAAGGAAAGCAAAGTTTATGGCTACTCTATTACTGACCAATCCTTGTTTATAAACAGATGAACTGACCGCTAAGATCGACTCCATTTTTTCGATAAAACTTTGATCATACGCTCTTTTTATCAGACGCAAAATGATGAAACTGTTTTTATAAGCAGTGATTTTTAGAACCGCCGCTCGATGTGTTATTGATCTATGTATACGTTTTCGGTAATTGATAGACGGCGGGGTTTGTATTTTAATTTATGGGTGTAAGTGTTTTATTACACATAAAATTTGTAACCATTAGGATCCTTAATTTTGTAATTGTGATACTGAGTATACGATGAGCTTTCAGTGTGCAGTTAGATGCTGAAAGCAAGAGTGTTTAGAATGTAATTCATCGAGAAGGTTCAAGATATTTTATAAAATATCTATGTTTTTAAGATAACCGATCGCTTGCAATGTGTATATACCTAATATATAACAATGCTTTTTTTTATCAAGATTGATTTTATTCGGATCTTTGCTGTTTGTTAATTAGTGAATAGATATATCAACTCCTTACCTTCCCTTGGAGGTACCTTGACCTTTTACGGCGTGGTATTAAATTTGGTATCCGTCTGACAAAAGGCTTTTTTTCTCATAGTTTTTTCAACCATATTACAAAACAGGACAGAATTTCACATAAATTTTTGAAAACATGCAAAACTGTCGGAAAAATTATGAGTACTCGATCGCAGCGAATGTTGCATCGCCGCCGAAAAAGTGAATGGTAGCGCGGCAAAATCAATTGATTTTCACTTCAGTGGTGTGATCAACCTAGCGATATTGTGCTCATTATTTTCCCGACAGACTGATGTTGAATATGTGTAAAGACAATTCCATTTTAGTTTTGATCAAACTTCGCAAAACTTTTTGCACATTGCACTCTGATGTTTGTGTGTTTTGGAGAAAAATCGACAGAAAAAATCTCGCAGAAACCTTGGAAAACTTACTCCAAAATATCCCCATTTTTCAGCATCTTCCGCCTACGCATCTCAACCAATAACTATTTTGTTTTCTTATGACTTTCAGTATCTCTTAAACTCTTTGAAACCACAGCCCTCCCGAACTCAGGTCACTTGTTTTTGCACTAATTACATTAACAGATCTCTTCGTTTTCGCGAGTTTTCCACAAACTAGAGGGTTCGTAGTCAGGCGACGAGGCGTTTTCCCCGCACTTGTAACGGTTTAATCTTCAGCGAAAATGAAAATGGAACTGCCGGTGTTGTTCGTCTCGGATGGGGTTGTTTATCCGCATGCACAGATCAAGCTGCCTATTAGGAGTAAATCCAAGTAAGTTGATCGTCAAGAACGTGCCATTTTTAGTGGCCTTAAAGCACCTGTTTATTTAGTAGCCTCAAAAAACCTGTATAATCATGTAGATTTGTCGATATTTCATCAATTTTAAGACAATTTGTTTTCAGTTTCTTCATGATAGAGTCATGTTTGATGGGCAAGAGTGCGTTTACAATGGTCGCCATTGTTTATGGGACAGATCTTCCAGAATCTGAACAGGTGAGAGTCATAAGACCTGGTCGTTCTTAAACTTTTTAATCAGCAGTTTTTGTTGTTGACTTTGATACAGAATACAGATTGTTCAGTCCAAATTTTGTAGTAAGAGGCCAAAAAAAAGTGTTCGTTATAGGGAGGTTTTGTTACAAAAAGATTTATTTTTGCCTAAAATTTGATTTTGGGACCACTGAATTTGTTTGTAATAGCTAGGTTTTGTTAAAAAAAAGGTTTATTTTTTTGTCTCACATGTCAGGTTAACTATTAGGACTTTAGGACCACTCAGCTTGATTTTTATACACAAGTTTTTTTTGTACGCAGAGAACAACATAATTGGCTTTTTTGAGAAATATATTTACAAAAATTTCATAGAAACATTTGCTATTTTTTTTTTTGAGTTCCAAAACTTGTGAACCCACTAGTTTCCTATACATATTTCTTCCAGAAATTCTTCAACATTTGCACCATCGCCTCTGTCGAGAAAGTGGTATGTTGGAGCACAAACAACACCGCAACCCAATACACTCTCCACGTCCGTGGAATCGCTCGAGGAGAGATTGTTAAACACGGAGTTCCGTTGATCGAAATTAATCAACTTTTGGATCCAGATGTTCCATTGCCAGAGCCCTCGGTAATCTCCGACTTTCTTGCGCATTTAATGGTTTTATTGTCGTTTGCCCCAGCGAATTCCACAAGAGACAATTTGAGGGTAGGTTGAAAATATTGGGTTAGGATCTAGCTGGCGTTGCAGCGAGTCTTGGCCAACAAAGATCGGGACATCAACAAGATTGTCTACTTGACCATGGCTCTTCTCCGCATGGTCTCTTATCACGATCAGCTCAAATTCTTGGCTGAAAACGATGGCTTCAAGCGCATGGAAATTGCGCTGCAGTATGCGAAGGAAGCAATCAAAGCCTACGGCAGTGTTTCACCAAAGGATGAGTTGGATGGAAGCGCAGCGTTGCTCCCAATGAATATGTTGCAAAATAAACGCCCTCCGGTCAAGAAGAGGCTGAATGAGCTAGAGCAGCTGGAACAGGACTTGCAAGGCTGTGAGCTGCCTGAAGGAACCGTAAAAGACAATGTAATGGATGATTTCCAAAGGCTGAAAAGTCTGCCAAATGGCTCTCATGATTATCAAGTTTTGTATGGGTATTTGAAGCTTGTTGCGGCACTGCCATGGAACAAAACAACCGAAGATTCTTGTGATCTGGAAAAGTCAAGGTAAGAGCTGTTTATATCATGTACTTGCTTACATCTTAACTCAGATGCAGCTAGACTAACAATGATTTTTCAGAAAGATCCTAGACGCCGATCATGAAGGAATGGCGGACGTGAAGAAGCGAGTTCTTGAATTCCTGGCCGTCAAACAAATGAAGAAAGATATCAAGGGTCCAATCCTCTGTTTGGTTGGTCCTCCGGGAGTTGGGAAGACCAGTATTGCCAAGGCAATTGCAGACACTTTGAATCGAAAGTTTGAGCGAATTGCTTTGGGCGGAGTGCATGATCAAAGCTCAATCAGAGGCCATAGAAGAACATATGTTGGAGCTATGCCTGGGAGAATTATTCAGGCCGTAAAACAGGCCAAGACTAGGAATCCAGTGATTTTATTGGACGAGGTGGATAAAATGGTAGGGTCTGCAATAAAAATGCAATTTTGAAACTCTTTTCCAGCCTTTTTATAATACTTATACACTTTCTATAAGCATGAAGTTTTCATTTTTGATTTCAGGGTTCCGGACCGCAAGGAGATCCAGCTGCAGCCCTCCTTGAAGTCCTAGATCCCGCACAAAACCACACCTTCCAAGACCAATACCTCAATCTTCCCTTCGACATTAGCCAAGTCCTCTTTGTCGCCACCGCAAATGACTCCAGCACAATTCCCGGCCCTCTATTGGATCGAATGGAGTTGATTGAGATGTCGGGCTACACAATGTCTCAGAAAGTCGAAATTGCCAAGAAGTATATCATTCCAAGACAGCTGGCATACCATGCGTTGACTCCGGATTATCTGGAGGTCAAGCCTGAAGCGTTGGAGAGAATTGTGTCAAGATACACTCGAGAGGCTGGAGTTAGACAACTGGAGCGTACGGTGGCGGCGATTTGCCGATGGGCAGCGTTGAAGGTGGCTGAAGTCTTGAATGGCGGCGCAGTGGAGTTGGATACCGTGTCAAATAAGCTGAACTTGCCGATTGTTGTGAAAGCCGAGACTCTGCAGGAGATTTTAGGGGTAGGTCTGGGTGATTGTCTATATTTATCACTGTGTATAGAGCTGTTGCGTATTTTACCACTAGTCATGTTTGCCACTATTTTTTCATGTTGTGAATTGGTTGACAGCCCTGCAAGTCTTTTGAAAATTATTCTGTTTTTTTTTGATTTTTGTAAGGTTGTGAGGTCGTAGCGGTATTTTGAATCTCTTTCATGTCTATGATGACTATTTTAACGTGTTTTTTATATATCATCTTTTGATTTTCCTTGCATGTATTTAACTCTCAAAGGAAGCTTATTTCGGGCCCAACAATTCGAAGATCCCTTTCCTTCAAAGTTATAATACAAGTTTCACCTTTTTGAGTTTGCACTTTCAATTTCACGGATCATTTCCCTTGTTTCCAAAACCGTCTTTTGACGTCAAGCCTTTGAAATCTCCAAAATTCACCTCATTCGCCTCGCTTTTTTTAGAAGGAGCGCTTTACCCGTTCACGTGCCCTCCTGAAACACGCCTCGCGGAACGTCGGCGTGGCGCTGGGGCTGGCGTGGACGCCGTTCGGCGGCGAGGTACTGGTTATTGAGACGGTGCTGAGTGCGGGCACTGGGAAAGTCAACCTGACCGGAAAGCTGGGTGATGTCATCCGGGAGTCGGTCCAAGTGGCCCTGAGTCTGCTGCGGAGCAAGGCCGGCGAATACGCGCTGGACTTTGGTCAGCTGAAAAATGTAAGTGATACGGAGGTTGTTGGGAAAATGGGGAATAAAGGAGATCAGGGATATTTGAAGATACTGTTAGGGATTTTTAAGACAAGGCAAGTATCAGTCTGTCGGAAAAATAATGAGCACAATGTCGCATCGAAAATCGCATCGCCGCCGAGAAAATAAATTGTGTCGCGGCAAAATCAAATTGCTTTTTACTTCACCGACAGGTTCCGAGTGAAGCGACATTGTGCTCATTATTTTCCCGACAAATTGATAATCAAAAAAAGCATTTATTGAAAGGGGTAAGCTGTACAACATTGACTAATTTTAATGACAAATCAACAACTAAACAGCAAAATTTTTAAGAAGCATTTCCAGTCTTTATAACTTTCAAAGATAGCAAAGTTATGACGAGTTAAAGCTATATGTAAAATGTTTCTTAAATTTGAAATTCCAGTCCGATCTTCACGTCCACATGCCGGCCGGCGCAGTCTCCAAAGACGGGCCTTCAGCCGGTTGCGCTTTCACCCTGGCCTTGTTCTCCCTTCTTTCCGGAAGAAAGGTCCGATCAGATTCTGCATGCACCGGGGAAATTTCGTTAACCGGGAAGGTGCTACCGGTAAGTAATTTTTTTTCTTTTCACAGCTTCGACATCAATATTCTGGCTTTTTATCAGTCTGTCGGGAAAATTGTGAGCACTGCGTCGCATCGGAAGTCGCATCGGCGCCGAAAAAGTGAATTGCGTCGCTGAAAAATCAAATTGCTTTTCACTTCAGCGACACAATTGGTGCGGCAATATTGCGTTCAGCATTTTACTGGCAGACCGATATTGCCTTTTGAGAGACAAAGACACTTTTTTTGAAAAAATAGAATGGAAAAAATGAGGCCGACATGAGAAAAGAGCTCGAGAAAGCAAATATACAGGGAAGTACTCCAAGTGCGACGCTCAGGTTTTCGTTAAATTTTGCACACACGTCGGGAATAGACTAAATATCAATTCCTGAAAGTTTTAGCTCGCGCTTCGCGGGCGCCGCCGAGATATCGAACGATTTTTGCCGCCGAGAGAGCACGCTAAACGTGGAGAGCGGTCAGAGAGAAAACACCTTTTTGGCCATAACTTTGGCAGTTTCGTGCGGAAAAATTTGATTTTTTGTAGAAACATTATCCTTTACGGTTGAAACAGGCACGAAACTTTCCGTGCCGAAATTCGGCAAAAAGTGCCAAATTTTCGCCGACTTTCAATCTAAAAATCTCGGTTGTTTCTGCAAAGCGCGAGCTAGGATTCTCGCATATATTTTAGAAAAAATTATTCTAAATTTGTGCCATGTTTCATCAAAATCTGAGCGTCGCACTTGGGGTACTTCCCCTGTTAGCGTCTTTTTTTTCAAAAATCCCAAAATCGGTCTTATTTCTTCACTCTCAAATTTTCATTTCCCAAATTGGCGTCTAGATTCCAAATATAAATTCTTAATACTGTAACCTCCCCTTTATCACTCTTCATAGTACATTTTTCCCAGAGGATTTTTCATTTTTTACCGTATAAGTTATATAAAAAGTCCGGACTCCGGACTAGTCCCCCAACAACTTCCCAAAAATAATAGCAAAATATTTATATTTTCTCTTTTCCCAAATTTTTTTCTTTGATCTTCTCCGTTGCAGGTGGGCGGTGTGAAGGAAAAAGTGCTGGCTGCGCACCGTGCCGGCATTATGCGGGTCTCATTGCCCATGGAGAACAAAAGAGACGTGGCGGATTTGGATCCCAGCGTTGTGGTGAGTCAATAGACGCCCATTATAAGTGAATGCATGACGATTTCAGGAAAAGATGAACATTTTCTTCGTGGACAATGCGGACCAGCTAATCGCGAAAATGATTCAGAATGACGAGACGGACGCCGCCAAGTTGTAGCCCGCCTTTCCTTTGGTCTGCGTCGTTAATGTATTTCGCAATTGGATGACTCCGAAACACGTGTATATTCCCCCCATGTAATTAGTCGAAATAAATGCGAATTTCCACGTTCTGACTAGACGCCGACTACGGTCGTTTTGGACCTGAAAAGATTGATGTGGCATGACAAATCAGTCGCGATTTATAGACCTTCTTTTAGAGGGCATTACTGTGGAAGGCCATGTAATTTTTCTCGTGATTTTTTGGATGACTTAAAAATTTACGCTTACAAAGTAATTCCTTGTGATTTTTGCAAAAATTTATGTGCTTTTCTAAACGGATGGGCCTCTGATTTTTTGAAGTTGCCCAGATTTCTTTTTGCCTTCTTATCTTCATAAGCCGCCGAGATTTTTTGTTAAGGTAGCGCCAAAAAAATGTAGTTTTTTGCAATGAAGGCTTGAACATTATAAGGCTCAATTACTACCAGTCTATCGGAAAAATAATGTGGATTAATCGCGCCTTCAAATCGCCCATTACTGCTTTGCGATGGCTAGCTGCGGCAACTGCAGCGAAACAAGGCATTTAGTTGCGATAAATCCACTTTATTTTTCCGACAGACTGATAAGTTTCTGAGCGTTTTTTTATTAATATAACAGTTTATTGTTTCTCGCCATTCCGACTCTTCTTATCTCCTGTGATCTTTCGAAAATAAGGCCGTTGAAAATCTTTCATTTCGGCCGCTGCCGGAAAGCACGAGCTAAAACTTTATCAAGATTGATTTTTGGCCTATTCCTGTCATCCGTGGCTAGCTCTAAATCTTCTAAGAATCCAAGTGCAGAATTCCAAGAATATGTGCCTTCATTGATGAGAGACTTCCTTGAAAATCTCCAATTGGTTACCGTACTCTTCTTCCGTATTATGCATACATAGTATACCGTCAAATTTAAATTTGGCCATTGTCTCACAAACCCCCAGTCCCTTCCCAGATACTGTTCAAATCCAGATTCTACGGCTTCTATGGCTCTTTATGTACTCACGGCCACGTCAATTTACAGACCCTGAAGCCATGCAGACTTCAAATTTGAGGGATCTTCAAATTCGTCAAAAAAAAGTTATTTCCCGTCTACAATAATAGTCATTGTTTTTTGCAAATTTTTATTTTCATACATACACGTTCTCCGACTACAGGTTGCCTTTCAATTTGACTGACATTTTGATAAAGAAAGCGGTCTGAGTCAGTGAATTCAGAGTCTATACTTTTTTTTTTATTCCTGGATGACGTTATGAACATTTCTTGTTTGCTCCCGTTCTCAAAGTTTCATGTAACTCCAGCTTGCAGTGCCCACATAGTTTGTTTTTTTCGGGGCTGACCGTAGTAAAAGAAAACAAATCCTACGCTGTTTGGGGGGATTTACATGATAATCGATGGCTGTGATTCTGTAGGGTAAACAAACCGGGGATTCTTTGAGGTTTGAGGTAGTTTTTTCGCCGCGAAAATGTTCAAAGACTATAAATTTATGCCAACAATTCTGACAAAGGTTAGCATAAATTTTTATGGAGGTTATCTCACGGTCTTTGTAAGAAAGTATTCAGGCTTTTTTCATGTTCCTTGCAGACGTACAGGGTAATTAAAAAAGTGGCCATTTTAATTTTTGATTTCTCTTGGCTTGGAATGTTTATCGGAAAAAGGTGCCCATGGCATAAAACTGCAACGTTATGTGAACAAATTCACTGCAAAATTTTTTCGCTAGCTGCGGAATTTGATGACATATGCTTGCTTGAAGTCGCCGGGTCAGCACGCGCATTCCCGCAGGGAAATTTAAAATTTTTTCGCTCCTAAATGTCCTAAAGTCCTTACCCTTGAGCGGAGTAGATAATATTATTATACATGCAAGTTTTGGTCGCAACTTTCGTACTGTTTTTCTAGGTATATGTATATGTCTTGCTTAATCAAGAATTGTCAGTCAAACGTCTGTGGAGTTTCAATGCAACAATAAATAAATTGTTTGTTTTAGAAAGGCTTTATATCCGGAGTTTCCTCGTGGCGTCAAAATTGTTCCTACGACCTTGAATTTGTTTTCAGTATGAAGGACCCGCTACACTTATTTCTTGACCTTTTATTTTTACAGTAATTTTTCACTCCATTCTATGTATGACAAAAATTGTTTTTTAGCTCAATTTCAAAATCTATGAAACAAAGAACCGGTTTGTTTACAAATCACTGTGGTTCATGCAGTATGACTAAATGTTGATTGTAATCTTATTCGTCTTGGATTTCATATCAACAATTCGTCTCATGTTTTTTTAGCTGACTCAAACCTAGATTTAAAGTGCAATTCAAAACAGCTCAAATATCCGAATTTTCTTGCATGAGAGGTGATTATTATATTTTTATATGGCTACATTTGCCCTTTAGGCAAGTGTAGCCAAGGCTATGTTTGGAGTTATTCCCAATAAAAATGGTAGTTACGGGGGGTGTTGATAAAATGCTGTTTCAGAGTTACCGTAGGTCTCCAAGTTTTTGCTGAAAAGGGAAGTACCGCAAGCGCGATGCTTCAATTTTTTAAAAGTTTTGCCATCATGCCGGGGATAGGTCACGTATCAGTTCCTGAAAGTTTTAGCTCGCGTTTTTCAGGAAATATTTCAACGACCGTTGCGGCCAAAAGGGTAGCAAGGATTTTTTTAGCAAGCGAAAAAAATTGGCCGTATTTCTTTGCAACTTTATCATGAAAAAAACTTTTTTTGAAAAGTTACTCTGAACGTAAAAGAAACTTGTTGCGCAAAAAAAGTTGCCAAAAAACTGTCACATTTTTGCCAGCTTTTGGTCAAAAAATTCCGGCCGTTTCTGCACAGCGCAAGCTAGAAATCCCGCATATGGCTTAGAACAAAAGCGAACTGTGTGTCAAACTTCATCTAAATCTAAGAGTCACACTTGGGGTACTTCCCTCATAAGTTGAAGTACCGATATTATGTTTGTAGCGCGACTATACGACGTTCTTAAGAAGTTATTTCGACCCCAAATTTTGCAAAGAGGTGTCCAAAGAATTGGATTTTTTCATCCGTTTCCAATTTTTTTACAAATGCTTGACTTACAGGATAGTTTCCTCAGTTGGTCCTGCAAAATCAAAGCCAATACTTTCGAAGATCGATTTCTCGGACATCCTAGATCTTCAAGGCTCTAAATCGAACTCATCGATCTCTGCTCGCCTAATTGTAGCTTATTACTAATTTAGCCCCACGAAAATTTTCGATTACTAATCAGACACCTCCCACTGAAATTTCATCACTTCTCATGTCACTTGCAATTCCTGTTCTTCACAATAGCAACGTTCTTTCTAGGCCCCCTTTTCTTACTGTTTTCCGACAAGGCCAACAGTTCAATCTTCCAAGTCGCATCCTTAAATAAACCGAGATTTCGAAGTTGTTGAGCCTCTTTAGCTCGACCTTACCGAAATCTCTCAAACGTCATCCAGCGTGGTCAACAAGGAAACGTGTTATTTTGGCTGGGATGCGATTGAATTTCAAACAAGAGCTTAACCTTGGAGGATTTGCAGGGAAAATAGACTCGGACCGAAACTTTTGCCTTGAAACCCACTCGTTTTCGGGCGATATATAATGCTTTCGTGGAAACTGAACTCGAGGTTATTTTTGAGCAAGACAGTAGGCGGCAGAGCCGAAGCAATTGAGCTTTATTAGTTATTATGCAGTAATGTTTTTGGAGGGAGTCATTACTTACGGTTTGGGTATTATTTTTAGACATACTTAAACAGCAATGGGGTTGGCGAGGAAACTTATGGGAAATATCAGTAGTCTTAAAAACTGAAAAGTAAAATAATGGAAGCTGCAAATCGATCTGTAAAAAAATGGATCGTCTTTTTATAAGGATAAAAAAAGGGTATTAAATGCAACAATGTTAGTCTGTAGGGAAAACCATTTTATTGCATCGATTACATAGCCGCCGAGAAAATGAATTGTATCGCGACAACATCAAATTACTTTTCACTTCAGCGCAGCGACAGAGAACCCACTATTTTCCCGACAAACTGATACTCAAAAACAACCTTTCTAGAAAGTGTTAAGCATTGATTGTTTTTGATGAAAAAGCAACAACCAAAGAACAAACTACTTCTGCCGGTAGCTTTGCAAATTCGATAAAAAAATCGCAATAGAAACAGGGTTTTGTGCGTTTCCGATTGTGAGGAAAACTGGACATTTTTGCAAACCGCAGTGTAAAAATTCGACCGAATCTTCCAAGTGCCTTATGTACCTAGCAAACGTCTCGCCAGCAGAATTGATAACCCCGTACGTAAACGACGTCTGATATCGCGGCTTTCTGTGTCGCAAACTACACCGTCTTCAGCATGCCGATCAAATACTAAGCATGTCTTAAGTCTGACCTAACAACCCCATGAGGCTCTCTTGTAAGCCAGTTCCCTTTACTCCTTTTTTTTGACGCAACATTTTACGCTAATAAAGCTCCATGCTACATTTTGTTACGCAGTTTCGAACTTATTCGCCCCTCTCTTTCTTATCAGCTCTAAAACCACCGTAGTTCTTCTTTCTTCAAGACCCGCTATCGTCAGAGACTGTATTTTGAAGACTTTAAGTCGGGGGTTTAGATTACGTCATAAGTAGCAATGCTTATCAAAGGGATCAGTCTTGGTAGAAGAAGTGTTATAAAGTAAAAAATCCGGAACCACACCTTCGTGATTTTCGTGTCTCATGTTTTGTATACAACGATTTGATTGTGGTTCCAATGATTTATTGTTGTCCTGCATTGCTACTATTGTAAAGTTTGACATTTCCGGTCGATCTGGCAAGTTTTGAACCCAATGAGTCATGTTGTAGGAACGTATATGAACATATATATATTACATTGTCTGTTTTACAATATTACTATTTTTGACTTGTGATTTGTAATTTCCGACTGATTCAAGTTTTGTGCGCACTTTAGTGCGATGTTCCTCCTTTTGTAGCGGATTTGTCAGGTCAAGTGAATTGCTCTCTAATTCGCGTGAGAG